TTGCGCAAAGCAGTTGAAAAAAAGAAAGAAAGAAAGAAAAGGTTTGCATTTTGTGTTTTTTTCAACTTGGGTAAAATCACTGGACATTAAGGACACGTGCTGAGACATCATGGTGCCAGTCACGTAATTTTGTATATTTGGGGGTAAAGATGTGGATGGGAATCTTTTCCCTGTGGAAAGAAGTAACAGAAGAAAGGTAAGAAAGGAAGGAAGCTTATTATTCAATTTATTTCACAGAAACTGAAACATGCAGTCTCCAAGTACTACTCACAGCCCTTCATCATATATATATTTATACGCACACACACACCTATAATGTGTGTGTATACATATATATACATGCACACAAACACACAACAGGTAGACAGCAAGCCAGACAAGAAGATATGGAGAGACAAAGATATGGAGAGACAAAGATGCAGATATTTACTATCAGTACAGACAGTCAAAAAGCCTGAGGCTGAATCGATTCAGGCCAGGTGTCTGCCCGAGTAGCCCAGCACAGGGGGCACTGGGGAGCCCCCACCTTGGAGGCCTGCCCCCTCCCCCCTCACCCCAGGGTCTCCCCACCCCAGGCAGCTCCAGGGAGCTGGGGGGAATTCTTCCCCTCCCAACCCCTTGCCTGAGCTGCAGCAAGTCTCAGGGATAGCCCAGGGAGCAGAGGGACATTCCTTTGTTCCCCTGCATTAGTTTTGCCTTAGACTCACAGCAACTAAGGCAAAACAAGCTCTGGAGGAACAGGAAAATTTTTCTCTGACGCTGCCAGACTCACAGGAGCCAAGCAAGTAACTCTGTCCTTCATGGAAGGAAGACTCCCCTCAGCTCCCTAGGGCTGCCCTGGGCTAAGGTGGGAGGAAGCCCCCCCAAGGTGGGGGCTCCCAGATGCCCCCATGCTGGGCTGCATGGGCAGGCACCTGGCCTGAAGGATGACTCCTCTCTCCCTCCTGTGCCAGTGGCTGAAGCAATCAGCAGCTGAAAAGGGGGAGGGGGAAAGAGAGAGGGCTGCCAGGGTCTGAAAAGCCCTAACCACAGGGGCTCTCTCTCCCCCCATGTGCTGCGTAGACCCTGGCTAGGGTAGTCTGGGGGTCTGTTCCCCTGCCCCACATCCCTATGGGCTGATGGACACAGGCAGGAAGCAGGCTAAGGAGCAGAGCGGCAAAGCAGTCCCTGCTCCACTGGAGCAGGCAGCATAGCCCAGGACTGCAAAGCATCCTGGGATGCTGGGGGACTGGGAGTTAACTTGAACCAGGAAGGGAGCCGGGACAGAAGTTCCATAAACTGGTTTGACCTAAATCAGTTAAAGTCTGAAACTACATCCAACATTTATCTTAAACCAGTTTTGGTCATTTTGAAAGCGGTTTATGTGCACTGAACTTCTGTTCTGTTACGAGTTTAAACCAGTTTCTGATCACTTAAACTGGTTTATGTAACTTTTGTCCCTAGTCTTAAGGTTTGATCCAATGACAGGTTAAGTCAGTAGAAAGACTCCCATTGACTTCAGCAGGTATTAAATTGGACACTTAGTCACTACTTTGATTAGTAAACATTTTTCCAGAACAACTACTCATGCAAGTTCCATAAAGCTGATCCTCTATTACAAGACAGAAATGCCAGGTTATATGTGAAGGAAAAAATATCATTATAGTGACAGAATGCATGACCAAAAAAGCTTAAACTCCTGCAGAAACCTGTACATAGTAGACTCTACAAAACAAAGTTCTTCAAAGCCAATCTCAGCAGACAAAGATCTTGATTTTTTCATGCTTTTACATGTTTACATGATTAATATACTAATACATAATCCATGTGCAACAGAAACATAAGTTAAAAACTTCAACAGCTTAACAGGCACAAACTATAACCTATTGCCAATTAAAAATAAAAGCCATGCAAAAAATTAAAATCATTCCAAATCTAGATATCAGTAAAAGAAAACGTAACTTACTTTGTCTTCTTTGTAGACTCAGTTTCTGGTTCTTTCACTGCAATGAAATTTTTAAATTTCTAAGACCTTATTCCTTTGAAATACATCATACATATATTTTAAATATCAAAGAAAAACTATTTTAGATTTTAAAAATTGCCACTTTGAAAACACCTACAAACCGATGTAAAAAAATGAAGTACCTAGTAAGATTTTCAGAAGTATGGAACTTCCATTTGATTTCAGTGGGAGTTTAGTTCCTCAGCACTTTTTGAAAACAATCTGGACACTTAAAGGCACTTAAAAACTTTTAAAGTTCTGGCCTAGGCTGCCTTAATTAAAAAAATCCATCCAAAAAATGAAAAGGTATTAATTGAGAAGGAAAAAAAAAAATGAAGAAAAAGAAAAAAGGGAACAAAAACCGTTACTATTTTATAATTACCTAGATCACTAGTTTCCACAGTGGATCCTAAAAATCAGGATATGATTGTGCATATCTCGTTATGCCAATACAAAAGTAAGTGCTTTTAACTGCTGGAAAACAGGAATCTTCAAATTTTCAACCCTCGGAAATTCTCACACCTAGTCCTGGTGGAGCCTAAGGTATCAGATATCAAAACCCATTTTTGTCCCATCCTCTGGGGCTCAGAATAAGGCAATCTTTAAATAGAAGTGTCCCTTTCTGGGTAGAGACAGTGAAGGAAGAAAACATTTTTTTCTGGCTCTCAGATAGGGGGTGGAAAATGCAAGTTAACATGTCTACTTAGAATCTTGCTAATTAAAAACAAATTAAAAAGTTGTTTCTAGTATTACAGTGGCCCCAAGTCTCCCATCCATTGCTGAGGTTTACATAAAATATGTATGTATATATAGCCTTCTTTTGCTTCATGCAAAACATGCACAAAACACAGTAGAAACTGACTACTGGATTTACATTTTACTCAGGGAATAACATTTTACTCTTCTAATATCTGCCATCACAGAATATAGAAATTCAATACATTTATTTATCCACATTTAATTCTACAGCTCCAAAAAGATGCTCACTATGATCAGTGCCGGTGATTTGAGCCAGGATACGAAAAGAACGAGATTGAGTAGTCCCTGTCCTGGGGTGCCAGTCCTCGGTATCTTCAATCAGTCGTTTCTTGCTGGCATCTCTGTGAGTGGGCATGTGATAAAACTCCGTGTAGGTATCCACAACGTGTTTTCTTGGTGGACTGTTTCAACAAAGAATAGTTGTGAAAGCAAAGACATGAGATTTCATCTGTAAATCATGACAAAACAGATTATCACTATTACATTTGAAGTTGAAACAAATTACAAAAGCAGCTTCTGACTGAACTCAGATATTCAGAAGTGAACATAACAACATACACAGTAATATGCATTGTGGCAGAAAGCCACCTTGGTCTCTCCCCAAAAATCTCTGCCCTGTGACACTGTGATTTAAATCTCTGTGCTGTGACCATTCAATTAGGATGGGCCCAGCACACAGGGGACCACACCCTCAGCCTGTCTCTTTAGGGAACTGGAGCTGGCTGCATTCCTGAGGGAGGGGGGAAACCTGCTCCCTCTGCTTACGTGACTTGCATCACTTACCTGGGTAAGGGGTTTCTACCTGGGGAGCTGG